CCATCACATTCTTTCCTTCTCTCACTTTTCTTCTTTCTTACCCCCCACTCCTCTTACTTTCTTTCCGTCACTCTCATCAAGGCACTCTTTGAGGCTAACTTTCTCCGGAACTTTCGTCCCCCTATAATCTCGCGTACCACGCGCAGCCACTGGAGATCGCACGAGTAATTCCTGATAACGATCATCAATTTTTCTTTTACTCTCGTTTACCCCCTATCTCCGCACCCTCTGGTGGTCGTTCGCCGTACTCCAGAGTGCAATGCAATTTTCAACGTATCACTGCCCGCCGCGTATTCCGTGTTAGCAGAGTCTTTCCGCAACGTCGATCGATCGGACAGCATCGTTCGTGCTTGCCATTTGGTTTCTGATCCAGTATCAATATTACGTATCGTGACCCGATATGAATTTCACAAGTCTACTATCAAGATTGCTGGCGGTTAGCTGGCCCTTAAAGAAATAACAAGTGATTACGTAACCTCGTTACGTTGTTACAAGCCATAAGCAAACAGCTACCCTTCGCGCTCAGAAGAAGAACGCTAATGGAAGAAATAACATTTCCCAGGGCTCGCTCGAAACCCCCTACTAACGTCACGGCAAACAATACCCATTTCCGCGCCGTGGTACCACTGACCATGGAAATCAAAGCCTACATAAAAAATAAGGGTTGTTTTCCGGACAACAAGAAAAAAAAGGAAGACCAATCAGCCGACAGCGATTTCTTCAACGATCTCAGACACGTCCTTCCGCAACGACGAAATTTCATTCAACTGTTTTACCAGCGATATGGTAAAGGGTTTGTAAAAAGGAGAAAGCAATTTAAAAAATGTGACCTTAACAACTAGCCCGTAATGCCATTTACGTTAAAAACTTGAAAAACGGCCATCGGAATCCCTTTTATCCCTCGAGTAGATAGCAGAGACAATTGGCTTTCTGATGGTAGGTGAAAAGTCACCGGAAGTCCATGTAACTGAGCAATAGGCTTGGCGATGGGCACAAAGGGGTGCAAAAGGATAAATGATCGCCAGGGAGAATAGACTATTGTCCAACATATGATGTTTCCTATGCAATAGAGCTGCGGGAAGGGTGGTACTAGGGGGGTTGGGGGGGAGGATGGCTAAAGAAAGGAAAAGACAGAAAAAGCAGCTATATACGTACGCGCGTGTTACATAGGATGCTAGGAAGGGTAGGTAAGTCAGCGAGGTCGATGAGCCAGTATAGAGGGTAGTTGGGTAAGGGTCGTATAGCTATGTAATATCGTGCTCGGCGTGCTGAAACGAACTGAAACGCAACCGTAGACGCCCCGAGACGCTTTTAAATTACAGGGCTCACTCACGTTCTCGTCAGCCCCTCGCACCATTCGAAAACCATCCCCTCCGACCGCCCCGCGCGAGCGCACCTACCGGGCTACCAGCACCCAGGTGTTTTTCAGTGCAATTTTAATTTTACCGCCAGCCATTCCACGCCACTGTTTACGAAGATGCACTTTAATCTTCCCGAAGAGCGTCTACCCATTGTGCATCGGCGTCAAGACTACCCTTGGATTCTCAGCGCGCCATGGCGAACCCACCTAGAGAATTCTCTACCGTACCCCGACCGCCCTCCCCTTTCCGCAGCATCCTTTGGGTATATCCCCACCAGAAAGCTCCATCTTCGTTTCGCCGTTTCTTCACCCTCGGCCTCAATTTTTTTTTTCCTTTTCTTTTTCATCCCTCGAAAATACAATCAGCCATTATTTCATCGGACGCCTCACGCGGCCGACGCTTTTCCCCATTGACGAAGAAATATCGTCCTGAAGGAGGGGAAAGTTAATAGACACCCCCCTAAGAGCCACCTGAACTGAGTTAGATACTGGGGTAGGCGATGTAAATGTAGGGGAGGGCAGGGGGTAGGGGGCAGGGGGTAGAGAAGAGTAATTAGGCCAATGTAATTAGCATAAGAGGCAGTATTCAGGAATAATGTCCTGTCTATAGAGTTTACAAGATGGTAACGGTAGAACCGATTTAGGCTCCTGTGCTCATGGAACCCGTGAATAACGTACCAGTGGTTTATTTAATCAGAATTCATTTGTTCGTTATCACGGACAATGACTGACTCGACGTATCGTTGACCTCTTGAAACCGATCGTTGGTGCCCATCGAAACGAGGTATCGGGATCGTTATTGAATTCGGTTAATTGGTGTCGGATTTTTGAACGAGCACGGAAATCAAGTTGCGTCGCATTAGCTGAGCGTGACAGGCAAACACGAGGCGGCGGTAGGGTGAATCGCGATTTGCCGAATGCAAATAGGCAGACGTGAAACGAGTGTCGAGCACAGGTCGGCACGTTTCGTCGTTTAATCGGCATATCGTTTCGTCGCCTTTTAAACGCATGAATATTTTTTTTTTCTCAACCCTCAAGTGCCCATTGGGAAAAGACGCGAGAGCGATGGGGATGAAGAACGTTGAACGCCAGTGAGAAGTAGTTGGGGTAGGTGCCTAAAGGGCATCTTCGACCCTCCCGAAACCAACTATTCAACCGCACCCCTTTGCATCCCCCGCCCTTATATCTTCATTCCGCTCGTCCAGCCGTCTATAGGTTCGTTAAATTAAGCGAGGTGATTTCAGATGCTAATTAATTTAAATAACACCAGCAATTCCCATTTACTTTAGGTGCCCGTTAGATTGGGCAGTCTCCTGAGGGTGGAAGCACCCCCTCTCACTACCACCTGGAATTCTCAAATAAAAACAGATCGACCTTCGCGAGAGTTTGATAATTGGCCGATTACTCTCGGGTGGTACCCCTGGCGGTTTCAGCGCGCTTTTTATCTGGGGCTGTTTCTCGCCACCGATTAATTTTATAGCCTCACCCTTTCCTCTACATTGGTTAATAGCTAGGTACTTTTCAGAGTCGGCTTTTTGGAATCTCACATTTTTCAAATGAATTCTTACAACGCAGATCTTAAATGAAACCTAGTATACTAGGATGTCCGAGGCGTGTACTATATAGGTATGTAAATATATATGGATTTTCTTTACTAGAAACCGATAACGTAAAACCGAGAGCTAGCCTACGTCACCTTCGACCGTCCACCCTGCGTCCACGCATCCGCATGCCAGACGGGCACCAGCCAATTTTTGTTTCAACCGGGAACTGACGAGCCGGTATGACCTGGGAGTTCAGGTGGAACAGTCTCAACTCCGGCAAAACGAGAGCTCCGATGAAACCTAGCAGAAGAGACGGTAGCTTAACGGGTCGTGTCGATTTTTGGGGACGCGCGAAATCAGCAAACTCGACTGGATGCACGAATTGGAATGAACGGTTACGGAAATGCACGGCCGCTCAGGCTGCAAGGGCTGAGGTAGAGAAGGTCGGAGTAAGCGTCAGGTAAATAGTGCCGAAAACAGAGGGCAATTTATCGAGAATGTAATAGACCAAGTCGGAGCTATAAAACCGAAATCCCTCCACCGATTAATAAATTGGGAGCACTCACCGGAGCTGATTCAGCTGATCCGTGAAGGCCGAGAACTGCGTCCAGGTGACACTCAGGTGGGCGCTGCACTGTAGCACAACACTGCACTTTCGAGACAGACGCAGAAAATCTATAGGATTTTCTGCATATAGCGAGAGCAACGCGAGAACTACACAAGCGAGAACGTTCTGTACCGAATAGGAAACACAGCTAGAAAAACTATCAACAAACAGCCCGGGAGCGCGAGGCAGCTCGAGGCACCCCGATCGGTGTCCCAAGACAGACTGATGACAACTGATTTGACAAAAGTCATACTCGAGAACTAATCGTTCCGATTGGTCGAGATCGTTATAGCCGATAACTCTTGTCCTTTCTTCCGAGTCGTCCCTTTAAACCAAGCCGAAATCGTTCCTTAGCGAATCGGTAACTCTTTGTCGTATATATATATATTGCACGTATAAGGTATACGTATTGCACAATATATACCCAAACTGAGTATCAGGGTATGGGGTACTTTACGAGAAGGTCCTCCGAAATTCGACAGGAAAACTCTGAAAGAACCATCAAACTGCTCTGGACCGGTACCCCGAGGGTCCCAGCATCCACAACGTGGGGGTAAAACATCGCCACCAAGATTACACCGGAGTTTCACCAGTTCGCGATGTTTTATCGTGATGGCCAGTGCCCGGAGCAGAAGGCGAGACTTATGGCCAAGCTGGTAAAGTGGAAGTAAAACTAGAAGAAGAAGAAGAAGAAGAAGAAAGAAAAGAGGAAATAGATGAACAGTGTGGTCCTCCGAAAATATAAGAGAACAAAATAATGTTTGAAAATGTATATCGCCATTTAATAAAACAAAATCTCGAAATTCACGTCGCTTAAAATAGGAACAATGGAATCGGAAGTGTGTGCTCGGAATATAAGGCTGACGTAATCAAGACGTCAGAGTCACTCTCCCGGACGAATGGACCTGGTGCGATTTCTCGGGTTGGCCACGAGACGAAGTTGCTCGACAACAAGCAGGTCGTGGCGAAGGGCGTTAATCAAATCATTCCCGACGATTAGTTCTTGCTGGGAGCGGCTCTTTCCTCCCCTCCCCACCCGTCCCTGAATTTCTCTGGCAGGACCGCTCCCGGTCTCCTGGCATCCCTAATTGCCTCCGACTTAATTGTTTTTGTCGAACGCGTGGGTCAACTCCCACGGGAATCCGCGAGGCTACGTGTTCCTCCTTATTATCTTTAGTCCCTATGCCAGTCCTGTGTAAAACCTAACCCGAAAAACGGACCCCTTTCGCCGAGGCTTTAGCCTCCTTCAATTGTACTTACGGTTCGTTGATTTTTTTTTAGAGACCAACGGGAAGGGGTAGGGAACATCCCCTAAATATATTTTTTTTTTTTCAAATGACAATGGCTCCACTTCATCTTGATTCATCTCAATGGCCTGCTTCTTAACCACTTGGAATGTCTTAAGGGTTGAATGTGTTGAACGTCTTTGAATGAGAGGGTAATACCCTCGAAAAGTAGTACGAGTGAATAATGGGACGAAACAATGGCGAAACTTCCACTCGGGCCTCCTTAAAGCTGAGATCTCTCAAGAGAATTCTTTGACGTTCTGTACTGGTGCATATAGGTATATAGTATATGGTACGAAAGGATATCTGGACCAGTGGTAAACTGCTTTACATACTTTCCACGTGCGTGACAACTGTTGTATATATTTTTGAGTTTGATTGTATATCTTGTATTTTTTTTACTTTTTTTAGACTATCTTTTTTCCTTCTTTTTTTTTTAAGAAAACGAATTTTCAACTTTTCGCCCACAGTTTTTCTCCGTATCCTTGACTTTGTCGTTATATCAGCCAGCGACTCCCTAGGCCTTCTATTCTAGGTGGTATCGTCTCTTAGGGCGCGAGACGACCTTCCGACCCCACTTTTACGTTGGCCCCAAGAAAATCATAAAACTTTCATCCTCACAACTCTCGCGGGAGGTTTGGCAGTTCCTGAAGTGATCCTGAGAAAGCAAGACTGGTTCAGGCACTTCCGTGAGGGCATGTGATGGCGAGATGCTGCTTCGTCTACCACCTCCCTCTAACCTGACTGTTCATAGGGGGGGTGGTTGTACGTTTTCCCAAGTCTGGCTTTGGCCATTAGTGGCAGCCGGCCTTCAAAATCAGAAAACTTCTTAACGTAATCCTCCTGCGGGGTATGGCGAAAAGCTAGAGAGATCCTGTGAACCTGAGTCCGTGACGCGTGTTGTCTTTTTGGTTTGCCCGCGAAATTCAATTACCCTTACCAGTCTTATTAGCGGCTTTCGTAAGAATTCTTTTACGAAGGGTCTGAATAAAACTGTACGAGTGCACCGTGTCCTTTTCGAGGATCAAATAGAATTTCGCAGGACGTTAAGGCCGCTGAGAGTTACATTATTGGATGAAGGATATCCGGTTGGGAGGATGGAGAGTGAAAGCCGAGACAGCTGCGTGATTCGCACGGGGACACTCGTCCACGTGTACAAAGCGTAGGAAGTTGTAGTCTAACTTGCGAAAAGAACAAAGAGAATAAAGTGTATGATAAAATTTTATGGAAAAAGAGAAATTTTTTTTTTTCTTTTTCAGAGCGTCTACAATCTACTGGGCGAGACCTTATCCAGGTTGCAGCAGTACGCAGAAGCTGAGAGATGGTTCCAGGCCAGTCTGGCTAGTCAGCCTGACCACGTGCCTGCTCATATCACTTACGGAAAGTTGCTAGCACGTAACGTAAGCATTGATAAAAAAATTTGTACGGCGTAGAGGGAAGGATAAAAAAATTTATTAGATTATTTTCCATTGCTACAGTCCAGTCGAGTCTTGGAAGCTGAAAGATGGTTCCTGAGAGCCAGAAGGTTGGCGCCCCAGGATCCCAGCGTACATCACCATTATGGTAGGTGATGCTTGGTTGATTATAATAAGCCGACTAAGAGAGAAACAGATGAAAGACCAAAGACGAAGGAGGATGGTTGTCTACGTGTGGTGGATGGATAGAGCGAAGGTTCCAGAAGCGTCAATGTTAACAGACACGACTTCAAGAAGAGACGCGAAGCTTGAACTCCTTGGGAAGTTCGCAGGGGCTGTTATACCTAGACACTTAGGGGATGTTTTACGTATATATATAGATATACAAGTGGTTAACGTGGGATTCGCACACCTGTCTGTTTGCGGAAAGGTTATACGTGTCGTCTTTACTCTGTCTCTTACGCAGACCGACCTCATCCGGTTCACCTTTGCCCCACCAGCTATCCTCCAGTTACCCAGGAGGCAGGATAAGCTTCATCTAGTTCATAACTTTCCTCTTGAACTGTCCTTATGAAATCTTCGAGGACTGGAAATATCCATAAAGTTAACGTAAGAACAAAAAAAAAAGTTTCACTAAAATTTCTTTATCTCTGTTAACAGGAGCGTTCCTCGCGTCTCAAGGTCGTCTAGCGGAAGCTGCCGAAGAACAGTTGAGGGCTGCCGAACTGTCCAAGATGGACTACGAGCTGTCGATGGCTGCGGCGTCGGCGTTGCGTCAAGCCGAGCGTTGCGAAGAAGCCGAGAGTTGGTACAGGCACGCAGCATCCCTGAGACCTCACGAGGCCAGAAGTCATACCAACCTCGGGGCGATTCTTCATCTCAATGGAAAATACAAACAAGCAGCCGCCGCTTACAGAGAAGCCCTGAGGCTTCAGCCGGGAGACGCAACGACTCTGACCAATCTCCACAAGCTTGCAGCCCTCTTGGCGTGACGCAGGACCGAGCTGGAGATGCGAGAGACCCCGGCCCTGCCCCCCAAATACCTAACCCCAAAGTGTACAATATACCCCAAAATCATCCGTAACATCACCCCGCTCCTCCCAGCGTTTATTTATCCACGAGATAATCGATCAGACGCGTCCAGATTTATTGGCCACCTGATCGACGCGACCGACTCGTACGCCTCAGCTACGGTATGTAAAGAATAAAGCTTCATTTATTTTTCTCTAATATTCAACACCCGTCTCGTGTCTGATTTCACCCACCTCTTCCCCTATTAAGTAAAGGCTAAATCTAAAGAAAGGACGTTAGATAATCTCGCTGCTGGATGTTTACCAAATCCAAGGACTCCGTCACTGGCAACCGTGGGAAAACACGGATTGGCTGGAATCGATGGTAGACGCTTGAGCTTTTATCACCCTGAGCTTCTATTAATAACGAATGTATTTGCACGAAGGTACAGACATGGAATATTCGAGTTTACATTTTGAATCACAGCAGAGAAGAGTGACTGCAAAGCGTCGTGCCACCTGTCGCGTGTTAGCAGGGCAGCCAAGACAGGGACGTCCCGACGGCTCTCGGCAAACACTCAACCGTCGTTGGCTACCTTTATTCCCCGAGTCGAACTGCTGCGGCTTCGTTATCTTTAAAGAGGAACTTCCCTCGGTGTACCTTATAGAATTTCAACTGGAATTTCAAGCGTCTGCCTCTCTTAGATAACGATGCTCTTGTTTTTGCCATACTAGATACAAAGCTGTTCTCAAAACTTGCATTTCTTTGGGTCTTTGACTTTTATGAGTATCAGATTATTTCGATGAAATCGTATCACGCTCAAACGATAAGAGTCAAACGAGCAAGAAAGCATCGACGATCGTTGTAAATGAAAGTCTGTTATTTCTAAAAAAAAGAAAAAAAAATAGCAAAGTAAAGATAATAATACCAAAAGATCAAAGAACGAAGTTTGGATATCGTAACGAGAAGACCTTGTCTCCAAGCAAACTCATGCTTAATGGAAGAAGCAAGGAGCTTTAGAGAAAAGAAATATTTAAAAAATCAACAAGCAGGTAAAACTAGTATAGGCAAAGGAGAGAGTGAACGAGGCTTTAGGGGGTTGGTAGTGTCTTGTTAGAAGGTTGACAAATAATACTTAAGAAAGGCAGTCAAGATGACGGCAGACGGGTTAACAGGGAAGAGAAGGTCAAGCAGCACTTCATTATCCGGTCCTCGTTTTAAACTTCAGGGTAGCTGTGCACAATCTACAAGATGGCGAATGGCGAAGAACGATAATCTACCCTACCCTGTGTACACAGTAATCACAACGTTAGCGGAAGTTAAACACGTGGGAGAGAAGAGGAAAAAAAGATATCGTAGTATTTTCTTTTTGGTTGAAAGAAGAAAAAAAAGCTTTTCTTGATCTTCTTTAAAGTTCTGAAGTCAGCTCCCGTAGCCAACCTCAAGCGCCAGGTAAGTACAGTCCAGACACAAAACGACATAGCGAGTGAAGTTAGCACTAGCAGCGCCACTGGTAAAAGTGGCAGCGGTGGGAATTAGGTAGCGTGGACCACCTGACGCTTGGCCAATTTCCTCGGTTGGTGTCGCTAATGCGATGTTAATGGAGGATGGTGTGTCGTTAACGAGTCGTGGTTACGGAACGACATTGCAATGGCGTAGAAGGTCGCTAAAGGAAGGGAGTTTGCGAAAATGAGGAATTCAATTTATTTCCATGAGTTTTCGAGATACGCCAGAGGCCATTAGAGCATAGCCTAAGGCGAAGGTGGTTGAAAGAGGAGTGTTTAGGGTTCCGGTTGGCGGACGTGACGTCACTGCGGAAGCGTCGCAGCACGGTTAACGTCCGCGTGAAATATAGTTCTGCCTTGAACTAGGAGAAGGTGCGACTAAATCAGGAGTCGGTTCTGGTCTCGTGAACCGCACCGACTCCTTGGGTACCTTACGAAAATTCCAGTCCAAGTCTGCTCCACGCGCTCCGTACTACAGACTCTCAACGAACTCGGTCCTACCCCCTTAGAGCTCTTTACTTCCTTTGGCTCTCTCTCTCTCTCTCTCTCTCTCTCTCTCTCTCTCCTCCATTGTTTAAACACCGAGTCCCACTGTCTCTGGGCGCTGTGCTAACTGAAGCATTTCTCCGTTCAACCGCCGCGAACTTGAGCCTTACTACCCCCAATAAAATCATTGCCTCAAACTTTTAATTAAGATTTGTTGTCATCTTGCAGCCTCCTGAAAGTCGACTTCCGCCTTACTTACTTCCTTTCTTCCTTTCTACCTCCCCTCTTACCCGCTGGTTTTAAAGCTAAGGGAGAGTAGGATCAAGCGGATCGTGAACTTCCTCTCGGAGAGATTATTGGCGGCATGAAGAGACAAAGGGAGTCAGAGAAAATGAGATTGTGGAGAAAGGTACCCGCGAGTAGGAGCAATGGAGGGGAACAGACAGGGGCAGAAAATAAAAGAGAAAGTAAAGAAAGACGAATAGAGACAGAGTATCCCCAGATGTGTTCTACCGAAAAAGGGCATCGGAGCGTGGATGCTGGAAGTTCGAAAGGTAACAGAGGAAAGAGGTTAAATTCGGCTAGCGGAGATGTAATTAAATACGGCTGCCAATTAAAACAGCCGGCGAACGTGGAGCGCGAGCCGTCTTCTCGCCATAAATCATGCCCGAGTTACACGGCGCAGAGCGTCTCCGCGATACGGCGCCTGAGCGTTGCCGAATAGGAAAGACGATACGAAAAGGCAAGGGGAGAATTATGATAGAACGAGACGAAGCAAAGACAACGGGAGCCACGTGTCCGGTAGGAGCATGGATCTTTGTCATTAGCATCAAATATGAAGTATAGAGGGCGTGACGTCATGCCGAAGAAACCGAAAGCCGTTTGGGTAGGAAGCGGCTGTGTAAAAGAGTCCAAAATTGTTTGGTGGTAATCGCCAAAGGAATGTTTCATTATCCTAATGAAACTGATGACTCGTCCTCCCACGAGTCTAGTGAGAGGCGCGGCGAGACTTTAATTAGCTAAATTAAATTACTAAACGAAACACAGGCTATATGCTATGGACTACGGCAAACACTCTTTCTCTCTCTCTCTCTCTCTCTCTTATACTACTTATAGATATCCCTCCTCTTTCGAGTAATCGGTCAGTACCCCGTCGACGGTGCCGACTAATATCGCAAAAGGTCCCTATCTTCCTTGAACGTGACCTGTTTCTCTCCTTCCCTTCTCTCCTCTCTCCTCCCCTCTCCTGGCATTCTCCCTTTTATTTCTACGACCCTCACTGTACATTCGGTGAGTTCACTCGTCGTTTAACGACCTGGCAACTTGTTTTAGTCGCGATCTTGGACGTAACACGTTTACCGTACCACCCCTCCACTGTACTCTCTTATACCTTTCTGCCACTACCCCTCTGTCGCCGTCTTCCTTCGCAAAGCCGTCGAACGAAGCGCGTGGCTTCACGAACTCACTATATATATATTTGTGTATATAGTAGCGCAAGCAAGCAACTGGGTAGACAAGCAGGTAGGCAAGTCAGCCAGGAAGGAAGGAATACGGGCTTCGGGGCTCTTTGGTCTTGGGTCTTGGTTCTCAGGCGGTAACTCGATTTGTCGCCCGTCTTGAGCCAGATGGATCGGAAGTAGACGCCGACGCCGGCCGCATTCCAAGCAGCACCTATTTCCAGTTGCTCTTCCAAGAGACGCCAAGAAACCGGGAGACGGACTGGGTCCGGCAGTCCAACCAGAGAAAGGTACTGGAGTGGGTGTTGGGATCCCTCTTGTCGGTGAAACCTTCCCGTAGATTAGAGAGAACAAGCAAATCTCCCCTAGGAATTCGGGGTTTGGACTGGAATGCGAAATTTGTTGACAATTACCAAAAATGACGGAATTATTACAACGACTTGTCCCCGCTCGCTACTCCACCAGGTATACAGCATTATGTATATTCTATTTTTTAAATATGAAAAAAAAGAAAAACAAAAAAAAAACAAAGGGGTTAATATGCAAAGAAGGGCGCCGGTGGACAATTTAGATAGGATCTGAAGATCAATTAGATATCGAGGGAACAAGTTTCACGTGCCTGCCTACTCCTCTAGGAAGAATAGATAATCGCGTGCACGTAACACAATAGTTGGGAATAAGGGTAAAAAGGAAGCGAATAAGGGTGAAACGTGGAGAATCGATATTGAACAGACAAACAGCCTTGCTAGGTACCTAGTGTAGAGTGGATTAGAATCTGCAGGTACTTTCACAGCTAGGTAGGGTTAGGTTACATCGCGAGGGTGACTGGGTATCGGGTATGGGAGAGTGTCGGTGGTGCCATTAGCGGGGTGTGTTTTGTGCCCGGGTCGCGAAACTACGAGGGCACTGCTTTTGCCTCTATTGTTGCCGCTTTACTCCGCATGCATATTTAACGTCACGTTCCCTGTCCCTATCTATCGCGCTTTAATTTACACGCTTCGATCGTGGTCCAGAGAGTGGCTGGATGGCTGGTTGGATGGATGACTCTCTACCATCTAAAACAGTACAGACCCTGTCAGAAAGCCGTTATCGAGCCATTCACTTGGTATCAAATTTCGCACCGCACCCCCCCCTCC